AAACATCAATGTGAGAGAGACACCTAGACTGGTTACCTCCCGCACGTGCCCCATCCAGGGCCAGGGAGTGGTCGAGCCTGTTACCAGAATCGAACCCAGGGTTCTTCAGTCTGCAGGCCGAAGCTCTATCTCACTGAGACAAACAGCTAAGGCCATCTGGATTTTGTTGAGCCCATTTTTGAACTTTATATAAATGAATTATACAGCATGTACTTCTATGTCTGGCTTCTTTCGAACAACACAATGTCTATGAGATCCATCCTCATGGTTGCTTCATTTCTTAAAATTTTTTTTTTTTTTTTTTTTTAGTTTTAACTCAAGGATATTTTCCCACTGATTTTAGAGAGAGTGGAAGTGAGAGGGAAATATCGATGTGAGAGAAACACATCCATTGGTAGCCTCCTGCATAAGCCCTGACCGGGGTCTGGGCTGGGGAGGAGCCTGCAATCGAGGTATGTGCCCTTGACCAGAATCGAACCAGGGACCCTTGGGCCCACAGGCCAACTCTCTATCCACTGAGCCAAACAGCTAAGGATATATTTCTTTTAAATGAAATCCAACATTACCTTTTAGCAAGAGGACAGGGCTGTGCAACCATCAGCTCTGTCCCCAAGAACCTGTAGCCTAGCAGATGACCTGAGATGTGTGTCCATTGAAGGGGACAGATGACCCCCTACAGGTGTGAGCCACATATGTCAGGACAGAGGGGAAAAAATGAGCTTTTATCCTTTCCCAAACTTTAATTCATTTTCCTTGTGTTTAAAAGGGTTTTTATTGTTTCTGTTTTCTGTGTGTGTGTGTGTTTTAAAAATATATATATTTTATTGATTTTTTACAGAGAGGAAGAGAGAGGGATAGAGAGTTAGAAACATCGATGAGAGAGAATCATCGATCAGCTGCCTCTTTCACACCCCCTACTGGGGATGTGCCCGCAACCAAGGTACATGCCCTTGCCCGGAATTGAACCCGGGACCTTTCAGTCCGCAGACCGACGCTGAACCCACTGAACCACACGGGTTTTGGCTGTTTGTTTATTTTGTTAGTAGCACTGTAGTGTCTAGTCCCCTAGTTTCCTAAACAAAACTATAGCAAGTGCTGAACTAGGAAGATGATGTCATTTGTGGAAGCCGGGGCTGTCCGGGGCTGGGAGGCGGGGGGAGGAGAATGGAGTTGGTGCTGAATGGGAACTGAGCTTCTATTTGGGGAGCTGAGACGTTTGGAAACAGACTGGGGTGATGGTTGTGAAAGTACCTGATGCCACTACAATTTACACTTAAAAACCGGCTACAGTGGTACAGCTTACGTGTATTTTTAAACATTAAAAGGAACGGAGAGGACAGAGGAGGAAGTGGAGAGCGCGGATGGTAAGGACCGTGTGTGCAGAAGTGAGGCTCGTTGCTTTTCCCCAAACTCACACATAGCACAGAGCTACCCCCAGCCACGACAGAGGAAGGGGAAAGTGAAGTGGAGGGTCTCAGCCTTTAGGCTGAAAGAAGGGCAAATGGTTAACACAGTGAAGGTCGGTCAAGGCCCCTCACACAGGAGGCGGAGAAAGGCTGAGGGGCGTGAGCACTCATGTCCATCCCAGGCTCCGGGAAGAGCGGGCGACTCACCTCTCCCAACTTTAGGGTCACCCATTCCTTGATCTTGGCAGCTTTTTCTTGAACAGTTTTTGCTTCCTCGGCTCTCATCTGCTTCTACAAGAAAGAGAGGACCTTCAGTTAATGACAGCAGTCACTGTTTCAGTGAATAACTGGAGGTGGGAAGCCCTGAGAAGAAATATCAAGTGACTAACAGAAATACGTTTAATATTAGAAAAAATAAATTCACTTATGAATACGTTTAATATTCTTTAAGTGGGAAAGGCCTTCCTAAGCATAAGAAATCCCAAAAAGTCATGAAGAAAAAAACGAATAAATCTATACCATCACTCTACGTTACTATCTGGCCAAAAAAAGAAAAGATTCCCTTAAATAAAAATCAAAAGATCAACTGGAGGGTGGTTTGCAACACATACAAAGGTCTAATTTGAAAAAAAAAAACAAGCTGAAGGATCTGAACAGGAAATCAACAGAAAAAGGAGGCAACAAAACCCATAAAAAAGCTGTTCGTCCTCCATCATAATTATAAGAAATCTAATAAAAAATGAGACATCGTTTTCTTCTATCAGACTAATACAATTTCAAAGTTTAATATTGCCCCAAATTATCAAGAATGTTGGAAAATAACCCTTCTGACATGAACTGGCTACGTCTTTTTGGGAGCAATTTGAGAATATCTGTCAACGTTTTAAATGTACATTATTATTGAACTAATAAACCCCCTGCGCTCAGGAATCCTCAGCTGCAATTTGATAAAGCAACAAAGACAAAAAATCAAAACAAAAAACTCAACACTGAAAATCACCAAATTTCCACAAATAAGGGAGAAATAAACATGAAAACAGGATGCTGTGCTTGGCTACACAAGACATGTTCACCATGAACAGAGGCTAACCAGGAAGAGAAGGAAGGAAGGAAGGAAGGAAGGAAGGAAGGAAGGAAGGAAGGAAGGAAGGAAGGAAGGAAGGAAGGAAGGATGGATGGATTGGGGACAGAGGGAAAATGTCATTTTATGCTCTTCTTACTAGACTCACATATTATCTTGGCAGTTAAAAACAGAAACTAAATCTGAGTTGGCACATGAGAACCACCAACCCCACAACATAATCAAGAGAGCACATCAGGTGATAGAAAATCAAGGTTTGTACGAGAAAGCCAGCAGCTGGGCTAGGAGGAAAGGCAGGCTTTGGGACTTTGAGTCTGCCTCTGAGGCTTCTCTGCCGTGGGCACCTGACCCTCAGGCCTGCAGGTCACCTCCAGGCCAGGGTGCTGTACCATGACCATGAAGTCACAAGTGCCCAGCCCGGTGCCGGAGGCCCAGGAAAATCAGCCAGTCCTACAGCGAGCACAGTGCCCTGACCTAAATGCACGGGATGCGGGATCTTCTGCAGCAGCTTAGAGACCAGCAATACCAACGTTGGCTACACTTCCAGGGCAAAACTACCTCATCAGCGTAGGATGGACCCACACTCCAAAAAAGGGCTTCTGTGCAAGTGAGATGGGACTATGGAAATGTCCAACTCAACTCACAACTGCAGAGCTGGAAGGACCTTAAGTTAACGTCATTAGGTTAGGGGCCTGCAAACTGGCCCACAGGCCAAACCCAGCCTTCCACTTATCCCTGCCCCCATCACCCTCCCCGGACCCGCTTTGCGGCCTACATTTGGAAATAAAGTGTATTGAAACCCAGCTATGCCCATTCAGTTACACGTGGTCAACGACGGCTTTCGCGCTGCCACAGCAGAGCTGAGGAGTTGCAGCAGAGACCATGTGGCCCAGAAGCAGAACGCCTTTCCCTTCTGGCCCTCTATGGAACAAGTCTGACCGACGGACCCCTGACGCACTTGGACACGGAGCCCCAGGAGGGTGAAATGCCTTGCCCTGGTCCGCTCCTGGCACCGCTGGAACTAACACCAGCCTACTGACGGACACAGCAGCGTTCTTTCCAGCCTGATCTTGACTTATTATGACTGTAAAACAACCTTTTTTCTGACCTAAGCTCCAGCAGGACTCTGCTACCCAACAATTGCCAGATCTGACACTTCTATGAACGGCTCAAGAGAAGAAATCTCAATCTCAATCTCTCTCTCTCTCTCTCTCTCTCTCTCTCTCTCTCTCTCTTTCTCTTTCTCGGCCTGATGACTGAAAGGTCCCAGGTTCGATTCCGGTCAAGAGCATGTACCTTGATTGTGGGCACATCCCAGTAGGGGAGTGTGCAAGAGGCAGCTGATCGATGTTTCTTTCTCATCAATGTTTCTAACTCTCTATCCCTCTCTCTTCCTCTCTGTAAAAAATCAATAAAATATATTTAGAAAAGAGAAGGAATCTCTGAAATCCATGGGAGCGGGTTAGATTCCATGCGTCAGAATCCTATTTTCCCATGATTTTTCAGGGACACCGGGTGCCCCGCAGATTACAGAGCCACATCCACAGAGGACAGGTCAGTGAACGGGGGGGGGGGGGGGGGACGGGACGGTGTGTTTGCCCATGACGGTGGGAAGGCCCGGCCAGGACTTGCTGGGACCTTTATGAAGAGGGCCCATGTGGGAAATTAAGTCATCGGGCCACACGGCAGGGTCGCGTGTTGGAAAGGATGGAGCTCGGGCACCAGGAAGAGTTGGTGGGTGTGGCCAACGGCGGAGGGAAGGGACAGAATTAGGATGAAGTGAATGAGACTGTGAAAGGGAGGAGGCTGGGCAGGAGGCGCTGGAGGGGGATGCTCCAGACATCTCTCCCGAGCAAAGGTGCGACTGTAGCTGGGATGCAGGGCAGTGGCCCTCCTGGGCTCCCATGTGCTCAGGAGAAGCAGCCGCTTTTCAGAAGCAGCAGCAAGGTATGGACTCAGAGCCGCGGAGAGACTCTGGCCAACCAAGGTCGCTGGGACAGCTCTGCGGCTCCGATCCTCCAGCCCAGGGTCAGGTCCCTCATGCGGGCAGGGCGCATGCCAGGGAGGGGAAGGAGCAGCTCTCCTTACCAAATGCCAACCGCCGGCCTGACACAACGCACACGCATACCACTAGTTCATCCTCCTGCCCGCCCTCTGACGTATCCGGCCCCTATATCACCGATGTGCAAAACAAGCAGCAGCGACGTAGGTGACCTGCCCGCAGAGAGAGAGCAGCAGGAGCAAGAGGCGGGACTGAAACCCAGACCAGCCTGCCTCCAAGGTCCTTTTCCCATGGTATCCCCCCCCCCCCCCCCCCCGGCTCCTAGGACACCTCCCAAGAATGAGATCGCCCCGGGAGAGAACAGGCTTGAGAGGGAGTGGGCGCCCCCCCACGGGAGGGTCAGGCAGAGGGGCTCCGCTCAAGAAGCTGGGCCGGTGGGCGCAGGCGCTCCGCTGCGTGGAGCCCTTACCTGCTTCTCCAGCTGTGCCTCCAGCTGGCCGATGCGCTCATCTTTGCCCTGCACGGCTCTCAGCAGCTCCTGGTACTTCCGGTGCAGACTGCCCGCGGAGTCCACGTTCCTCAGGTTGGAGAGCTTCACCTTCTCCTCCATCACACTCACCTGGAAAGGACCGGGCGTCTCACAGGGCTGGGATGTGCTGTGTGTGAAATGGCCACTAACACGGGAGGGGCCACTTCCTGATACCCCAGCCCGTGACTCCCGGGCAGAGCCCTTGCCCAGAGCAGTGGGGCCCATTAATTCAATGACCGTTTAGTAAGCCTCATTTGGGCCAAAAAAAAAAGAAGAAATGACAAGGAGTAACAGGTGGGGATGAGGCGGGCAGGGCAGACAGCCCTGGAGAGGAACTGCTCCCGCCTCCCTGTGGCAGACATTTGCCGCTCACGGCAGGTCCATGGCTTTCTGATATTTCCAGCCCCTGCAGGGAGAGGGGCATGGGATTCTGCCCAGTCAGTGGGCCTGAGAGGAAGGACACGTATTTCTGGGCTCAAGCGTTTAAGAGTTGGTGCACAAGCCCCCGGCTCTCTTTCATTGCCATGGCAACCAAGGAGGCTGCATGCTCCAGGACGCCCAGCTAGAGGATGGGGAGCTCCATTAGCCTGGATCCCTGAATCCCCGTGTGGAGCAGAATCCCTGGCGCACCCTCCCTGGAGAGCTACCTTGAGTGAGAACTAAACGTGATAAATTGCTGAGATGTCAGACTTAGCTTGTTATCTCAGCATAAAACCTAGTCTATTTGGACTAGTGTCCACTCACCCATTACCTGCCCTGACCATTAACCAAACACTCATTCGCACCCACAGAGAGCTCCCTGCACCTTCTGACGCACGACTGTGGGTTCTCCCTGTCCCCATAAGCTCATCAGTGTGATGAGTAGGTCCACATGAGTTCATGGGAAGGGGCAGGAACAGCCAATGGTCACCTCCCCTGCACACTCTTCTCAGTCCTGTCTCCCCCACATTACCTGGGTCTCCGCGTTCTCTGCCCTCTGCTCGGCCTCCTGCAGCCTCTGCTCCAGCTCTTGCATCTGCTCAACCAAAGACACAGAGGACATGTGGGTGAGGTGTCCCTACTGTGCACATGACATCAGGGCACGTCAGTGAATTGTGCAGACCCTCCCCAAGGCCAGGCCGAGACCGCCCATCTCGAGTGGACTCAAGGGTGTCTGGGTAACACGTGGCTCCCATACCCTGAATTCACGGGAGCGGAAGAGCCCAGGGGACTGTCCTGCTGGGGGAGAAAAAGCCTTCTCCCCTTCCTCGTGCGGGTTCCCAGGGAGGGTCAGCAGGAAGGCCGTCACTCTTCTGGAGGCACCCCCTCCCCCAGGCTCAGTCCCCCTCCGGCCTCCTCTTCCTGAGGCCTCCCTCCCTCAATCCTGGGTCACGAACAGGGCCCTGCAGCTGCTCACCCGTGTGCCTGGCATGGAGCTGCCACCGTGGCATCAGTGAGAACATTCCTTCCCACCTCGGAAGGGCTCACTCCCTGGCTGGGGACGAAGGCTGCCCCACCCTGGCTGTGATGGCATTCACAGACACCATCCTGTTTGATTTCTTCCGTCTTAAAGAAGTAGAGGGGCTCATGACACATCTTAAAAATTCTGTCTTGCTATCAGTAGAGGCATGTCATTCAGGCCCGAGGAAGCTGGCAATTCTGGAATCTTAAGCCAATCGGCCCAAGCACAGAGGCCCATGTCCTTATACACAGACACCTGTCAGGGAACCAGACCTCAGTTGAAGTCTCAGGGGCTGCTCAGCAGCCTGACCCACACGGCACCTCAGCAGCTTTGCCGGTTCATGGGTTGGCGAGTGGAGTGAGGCTGCATTTCAGCTCCCACCTTGCCCCCTGGTCAGGGCTCGGCTGTGTGCTGTCCAAACCACACACCATCCCACAAAGGTCCTGCAGAAGCACGGCTGAGTCATACATCCAATTCTCCCGTCAAGCGCCACACCACATGCCAAGGCCTAGTCAGTCAAGGGCCCTGCCCTGCCCCGGAGCGACACATATGCCTTAAACATACATCAGAGGCATCGCATCCAGCCTCATCCTCCCTGAGGCCGGGCAGGCCCTGCTTTCCAAGCCCTAGCCCCGTGCTCGCCCACCCATCTCTGCAGAGATGGTCTTGGCTCCAGCTACTCAACCTCCTCCTTTTGGCCTGGACCCCGACTTGATAGTCACCCGTGAACTGAGCGATTCCTTTCCTTTCCCAATCTCTCACCTTCTCGGCTAAAATTCTGCTTTCTCTCCCTGATTACAGGATGAAAGATGAGGCGCGGACAGGCACCTCCAAGGAGCTTGCACTTGAGAACCTGGGGCCCCTCTTTCCTCAGGGCAGCCCTGCCTCATCCATTTCCCCCCTCTTTTCTGGGATGGGGGAGACACAGATGTTTTCAGTGCCCATTCCCTTTGAAAGGGTCTGATGTTCCCAAGTAAAACTTCAAGATTTAGAACAACATGCTCTTTGGGCTCCCAATGGACGGGGCCAGCTGTGACAGGTATTCATGTGCTCAGGCCAAGGGTGCCTACCTACAGCTCTTCCTTCCTCTCCTGGGTTTGATAATCATGACCAAACCTTTCAATTCAAACCTGATTTGGCAGGTTAGTTCTGGCCAGACACAGGCATCAGAGCCAGATGATCTTTCTAAAACCAAACCGTCCTTGGGCCTGTCTTACGGGAGTCCCTTGACCTTCAAACATATACTTGCAGCTACAAGGAAGGTAAGAGCACTGCACAAAACAACATGATGGTTTCAGGGTGGCTGCCCAACACAAAAAGAATTCTGCGTGGTGGGGGGCGGCTGACACACAGTGGTGGCCCACAGAGACCAGGTTAGGACCAAATAATATCCCACCACCACCACCACCACTCTGACACCGGATCCCACTGGGCCAATCAGGTTCTCCCTCCCAGGAATCTGAAACCTGGGATCAAGAGACCAGAGACCAGAGCCAGGAGACTGCCTCTGAGAACATACACCAGCTTCCCTGCGTCGCGATCACGAGGTAGTTCCTTCAGTTCTGTGAGCTGTCCCGGATCCTCCTCATGCAGTCCCTGCTGGCTTAAGCCAGCCAGAGGTGGAGTGTGCCCTCGTCAGAAACAAGTCTAAATAGAATACAGTGAAATACTGAATGGGAAGGCTCTGGATTCCTGACAAGTCTCCTGGATTGATCGCTAGCCGGACCGTGTAGATCGAACATCTGCTCTGTAGCTCAGAAGACAGAGGTTTTCCACAGGGAATTCCTATGGGTGGCCTTCTGCAATGCCCGTTGGATATTTTCTCACATCGCTGGATGGAGAAACTCGTCTTCCTCCTTTACAAATGGAGAACCGAGGTAGCGTGAAAAACAATGAACTGAGTCCTACTTCCCAGCGAGACCTTTCCACTTGGGCCGATAGTGGCCAAGGACACTGGTCAGAACCATCAATCACTCCTATTGACAACATCAAGATTCTAATATCCCTTCCAAGTGCACTATCACCCAAGCAGAGAGGAAGGAAGTCTCCGCCCAGCCCTGGGCCAGCTGCCGCGGGCCCTCAGGGCTGTGGATCCTCTCAGCCGCTCTTATCTTCTCGGCAAGGACGCTTGAGACTCAAAGCATTTTGTATCCACCTTCACGTTGGCGTCTTCTTTTTCCTCTGAAACTAATAGCTTCTGAATGTGGAAAACGTTCTGATCATCCAAAATGTTTTAGAAAGGGTGTAAGAACCATCTACCCATCCATCACTGCACTCCAACTATTGCCAAAACCCGGCTGTCCCCGTCTGATGAGAAGGTTTTCCACGTTTCCCTCCATTTTTTAGGAAAACACGTTTCCCCCATTGCTGTTGAAACAGCCCTCGCTGTGTCCATGCCAGCATCAGCCCCTCACACGATGGCAGATCACTCTTCTTTGTACCGGCTACAGGGCCACACCTGGAGCTCTGTGATGCTGGAGTGGGTGGGCCACCCCGCCCGTGTCCTGTTTCTCCCCTCAGAGGGTGCCTTAGGCCCGTGTCCTCGGCTGTCCTCCAGTCGCGGAGGTGTCAGGTGCAGGCGGCTGACTCTCAGGCAGGATCCGCTTTCACCGGCTGCGACGTGCACATGAGACTCAGGAGCCTGGGAACTGGCTGCAGTGCCCTGACGCAATGCGCTTGGCACCGAGCTGGTACTTAACCCCTCGGTGATGCGGTGAAACACCAGCCCTGCCGCGGCAGGAGCGGCCAGTGTGCTGAGCAGTGGCCTGAGCCAAGAACCATGCCGTCCTGGGTCTCAGCTTCCCTTTGAAAAGGAGGTTCGATGCCCTTACCACCGCCTTGCACCCACCGGAGAAAACGGTACAGGTAAGCACGAAGGCTCTGGAACCCGACCGGCTCTGCCATGGTGCGGCTTTAGATAAGCTTAGCCTCTCTGTGCCTCAGTTTCCCCACCAGTAAAAAAGAGAGTTAACGAGATTCCCCCCTCCCCATTCTTCCAAAGGGTTGCTGCTGTTGAAGTTCGCACAGGACGCCTCCTGTAAACTCCTGTGTACAACCTGGCACTTACCCAGCAGGTTACAGATAGCAGCTACTTGCTGGTTTTTCTTTAAAAAAAATAATAATAATAATATATATATATATATATATATATATATATATATATATATATTATTTTTTATTTTATTTTTTTTTTTTTACAGAGAGAAAGAGAGGGATAGAGAGTTAGAAACATCGATGAGACAGAAACATTAATCAGCTGCCTCCTGTACACCTCCTACTGGGGATGTGCCCACAACCAAGGCACATGCCCTTGACCGGAATCAAACCTAGGACCTCTCAGTCTGCAGGCTGACGCTCTATCTACTCAGCCAAACCAGTCAGGGCTACTTGCTGGTTTTTCATACATGAAGATGGCACTTGGGACCAAGCACAGTTTGGCTGGGACAGGCTGTTCACCTGTCATCTGGAATGACTAGTCATAGGGTCTCCTTCCTCTCTCCAAAGTGCCCTGGTTTAGATGGTAACTTAGGACCCATTAACAGAAAGGATGGCTTTCAGCCAGAGGTGGCCAACCATTATCCTACAGTGTCTTGTAAGACCAACAATGCTGTGGGCATTTAGCCGACACGGACATAGAAAAGACAGGCCACTTCCATGTGTCTGGCACTGGCTCACATGCTTTCCATGTATTAACGTGTTTAGCTTTCATCCCGACCCTCAGAGACGGGTACTATTACCCCTATTGTACAGAGAAGGAAAGTGACTACAGCAATTAGGTAACTTGCCTACAGCCACACAGCTAAGAGACAGAGCCAGGATTCAAACTCAGGAGGACTGGCTCCCGAGTCTACTGTACTGGCAGCCACTGTGCCTCTCCCGTGACCAGGGAAGAGCCACATTCCACAAACAAGGCACGACTTCAGCTTCTCCTGAAAACTCAGAAGGTCTGGACACACTAGGGTTATATTTTCTTGTGGCAATAACCACTCCCTCCTCTAGCTATAGCACATTCCCTTGAATTCTCCCCGGAATCCACCATGTCACTTATCTAAGATACCTGCAAGCATCTGAGATTGCAAACCCCAATTTTAGCTGCTAAATCTATTTTAATCAAAGATAATGGTTTTCAACTTCATTTTTAAAGTAGATCTTTTCTTTTATTCAATTAAAATCACATGTTTTTTCTCAAATATATAAAGCTAGAGGGCCGGTGCACGGATTCGTGCACTGGTGGGGACCTTCAGCGTGGCCTGTGGGGATCGGGCCAAAACCGGCAGCCCAACATCCCCCGAGGGATGTAGCAGTGCAAGAAGTGGCAGGTGCCGAAGCCAGTTTGGCTCAGTGGTAGAGCGTCGGCCTGCAGACTGAAGGGCCCCAGGTTCGATTCCGGTCAAGGGCATGTGCGTTGGTTGCGGGCACATCCCCGGTAGGGGGTGTGCAGGAGGCAGCTGGTCGATGTTTCTCTCTCACCAACGTTTCTAGCTCTCTATCACTTTCTCTTCCTCTCTGTAAAAAGTCAATAAGATATATTCAAAAAAAAGAAGTGGCAGGTGGCCAGGGAGGAGCCTGAGCCC